TACCTACTTACATTTTCATGGTTATTATGACGATGTTAAGTAGAGTAGAGGTATGTTTTGACTACAGTCAACACCTATACAAACATCACACGAAGTATCCGCACAAGTACATCATAGAAGCAAACATCATGGCGCCATAGCTTTATCAGTGTTTGTGTTATTTGTAAGCATTCTTATCGCATATCAAAATTGGGCAACTACGTACGTAATCTTCTTTTTCATAATGTTATCAGTTCAAAACAAAATGACGTGCCAGAAGAGAATTCTTTGAATTGATATCATTCGTTCATTTAATTGATAATAGTTTTCATTAATATTACCCGAAAAAAGTATTTTCTGGTAATAAAACATCCTGTATCACATCCATTTACAAGTTACAAGAATTTTTAAATCCAGTATTTGAACTTGTTGCCTTTAAGCTACCTACTTGTTTCAGTCTGGTAAATGTAACAATTTAAAAATATGACAACAAAAAACACCTCTACTTTCATTACAATGGTTTGTATTTTTTTCTAAGCTCACTGGTCTGCTCTGGGGAACTTTTACGAGGGGTCGTAGAAGGGGTCGTACAGAGTTCGTTGACCCCGGCAGCTGGTCGTCGACAGATAAACGCTTTGTAAACACCCGGTAACCCTAGATTAGCAAGCGGGGTGCCTGTCACTCGATATGCATGCCTTAACACAGCCAGCACAGTATAAGTACGCGTGACTATGTGGCGTTTTTCCTGTAATTGAATCTGAAATAAACTTATTATGTCAATTTAATCAACCTATCTCAAAAACTATAAGAGATACTTTGATCAAACCAAAAATCGTTGAAAGAGTTAATTAGCATGCATCACCTCTATTTTTTTTAGAATTTTATACCCCGTAGTTATAAAAATAGAGGGGGGGGGACATACTTTTTACGACTTTGAGAGCTGATATCTCAAAAACCGTTCACTTTAAGAAAAATGTTTTTTAGAAAACTTTATATCATTTTAAAAGACCTTTCCATTGATACCCCACACGGGTATGTACATCGAAAAAACATTTTCATCCCTCAGTTACATGTATGGGGGGCCCCACCCCCAATTCTTTTTTTTACTATTTAGTGTCATAATTTTGTAGCGGTTCATACAACACATATTCCCATCAAATTTCATCACTGTAGTACTTATAGTTTCCGAGTAAATCGGCTGTGACAGACGGACAGACGGACAGACGGACAGACGGACAGACGGACATGACGAAACTATAAGGGTTCCGTTTTTGCCATTTTGGCTACGGAACCCTAAAAACCGTTGGTTTATGGTTGAGAACAAAATACAAACACAAAAGCCATTATTGAAGTAGTAATTATTTAGATTGATTTTGACTATGATTAGAATAATAAACCTAGTGTTAAAATACGATGTGAATAATAGGACAACGTATGTTTTCAACTTTTTTTTTACCAAAATGAAAAAAGTTTGTGTAATATATTTTTTTAAGTTGATTATTTTTTGTTTTAACTTATCTTAGCATTGTTGTGTGGAGCGAGCGTAGAGATTGGCCTTGTGGTTTCACAAACATAAACTAACAGTCATCGCCAGAAATATTCAATTTTTAAGAATGTTAAAAATACTGCATTTATGAAAACAGCCGAATTTCTGCCACTATTTATAGAAAAGCGCTCACTACATGCAGTATCTACTATGTTCTTCTTTGGCATAGTATACAAATTGCTAGGGATAGTTATAAACTATACTTCTTCTTTGTCTTAGTCTTTTCCCATTGTTCGGAGTCAGTTCTCCTCGTTCTGAGGCACATGGACAGTCTGTCCATGGTTGTCGTAATATTTTTTTGGGCACTGTCTGAGTCCCTGTAAATTGTAAATAATATGTACTATAGTACTATGTTCATATTTTATTGATTGTGTGGGTTAATCCCAGCTTTCCAAGTGTTACTTATGATGTTCTATATACGTTAGTCTACGAACGAGTAGTATCCAAATTTCAAATCAATAAATAGTCCATAACATAATTAACGCTTGATGCCAAATAACATATAAACATAATATTAATATTATCCGTCTATCGTTCTGTAGAACGTTATGTGATAGTAAGCGGATCATCATCATTCATTCATAAATCATATTAATTATAATAATACACGTCTACTACGTTCACATTTTACGTAATTGGGTCTAACCATATTAATGCAGAGTTGTGTATTTATTTACTACACAAACAACATGTTTATATGCAATAATTACTACGATGTGATTCAAACCACCGACACGTGCATAAATGATTATACACGAGGAAAATGCACTTGCGTTTTGGCTACGTAGTCGATTACGTTTGAATCATGTGAGATAGAAGTGATAGAACTGACGCTGGGCAGTACCTACTGCTCCTGCTCGTACCTACGCAATGGTGCATCAGAAAGCCCGTCAGTGCAGGTATGTGTGCGTACTGCATCAAAATGAATGGCTCCACTGACCTAGTTTATATCCGTGCATCGTCAAGGTCTCCTTTATTATTTACAGGTAACAAAACAAGATGTACTATTGTGTATCTGTCTGTCTTTGTATCAAGGCATAAATGAGTTAGATGATAAATATGATGACAGGTACTGGTATCAGGTATTTTTAAATTGCTATGGAAATAGCAAATCTTGCCCGCGAATTACGAGTAGTTTCGGTTCGGTCTGGTTCAAAAGATAAGTCGGAGCGCCTCCCAGCCGAGGCCTCACTAGCTCGTCGCCAGTCCGCCACCGCTTAACGGAAGAGCATACAAACAACACTCGAGTCGTGTTATCTGACGAATTTGTCGGCGCGATACTAACCACGGTGTAGAGTTCAATAGCACTCTCGGTGTAAATAAATACATAAATAAAAACAAATTCACGGCCCTCGAGTGGCCCCAGCGGCGGAGCAACGGCCGCGGAAGTTTTTGTGATTATCCGGCGCGCAACGGCCGCGGGTTGTTTACGCGAGCGATGTGCCGCGTCATTGTGATTTCTGCGATAGATAGCCTATCTAGATCCCACGGAATAATTCGATAACTACATCTAACTATTCTGTGTTCGATTCAATTGTATGCGTAAAATAATAACGTTATTCGTATACAAATAATGAGTTTTAAAGGTGAAACAGTCATATCGTTTAAAAAACGATGCGGGGGACGACAATTATTTCAAGTTTCAACCAAAAACAGGGCATCTCTTGTTTTATTTTGGCAGTCAAATATTACCTACTTTGCGTCTTGGGATTTCCACAACATGAGCACAGCTTGTTCAATCATCTTGAATAAGTTTCGCTTCCGAGAAATCTAACCGAACTTCAAATACCTACTTTGTTTACTGTAGGTAGTCTTTTCACGGCATGATCAAAAATAAACAAGCAATTTATCGTCACTTAGTCAATGTTGATGCTGAATTGCTGAGTAATCTAAAAGTGAAAGGAGGAAAATGCTATCAATAAGCAAGATACTACGTACNAATTGAATAGCTGAATCGTTTGTCCGAGGTAGACATACTTGTCAACAATCTCGAGAATCGATCTCCCAACCGAAAATAGGTAGGGCGCAACATGGTCATAAGCTTTGTTTTGTCCATATTCATCCGAAGGCCTACCTGTTGGGAGATTCAATTAAGGTCTTCGAGAATTGTGCCGAGGTCTTCCAGCGATTCCGCACTAGTTCGCAAAACTGACGGCCGATGGGGCAGCAAGGTTCTGGAGTGGAGGCCACGTACCGGAAATCGCAGAGTAGGACTGCCATCCACAAGGTGGACCGACGACCTCAGGCCGCTACCAACCAACCATTGTGAAAATTATTGGGGGAGGCCTATGTTCAGCAGTGGACGTCCTATGGCTGAAATGATGATGATGATGATGGCCCGTGATTTTGTGAGTTGTACATCGATAATCAAAAAGGAACAAATTACAAGCATATTCAAGTTTTTTTACCACTATCTAAAATTTTTGTAACATTTGACTTGAATGACTCGTTCAACAAATCGTTCCGCCAGTATTTGTTGATGAAGTAAACGTTTGTTTGATACCTGTTTTACAAAAACACTAAAATTCTTTGCTAGTCCATATTGGCCTATTATCAGTAACCAAATGCAATGGAATTGGATACCCATAACTTACAAAAATGGTTTTAAATACTTCAATTAAGAAGTGCTGTTTTTTTACCAAATTAAAGATATTTATTAAAATCATTATTTTACTGTATACAATCAAGAAATGTTACGAAAATAATCAAATAATATTCAATTTATAACACAAACTCAATTCCGATATTAATATCGGAATTCCGATATTGAGATCTAATATCGGAAACCAATATCGGAATTGAAAATCTTCCGATATTACATGCCCTAGTTACATTTTTATAGGTTTTATAAGCACATGGAGCGGCCCTTGATTGAACTCATCATGTTCATAAACAGAAACTTTTCCCGGTATCAAAATAATATTGAAAATCGTAACAAAACAATAGCTACACTGAATTTACCGTTTGTGTAATCAAACGAATGCTGAAGTGTCCTAAAATATTCTGACTTGAAAAAAGTCCATAACACACAAATGTAGAGTCGATAGGTAGTGGATGAACTTATGATTTTTTCAGTGGAACTCTACATTTTGGATTTCTTGTCTGCTCATCATTATTATCATAAAAACGAAAAAACCTTGTTAATTAATGTAAAATAATTTTAAATTGATTAAATAACAAATAGTTGCGTAAAATGACAACAGAGGAAGAGGAAAATCAGTTTCGAGACAAGCCCTGGCGCGGTCTTGATGTATGATACGCGGGTGCCTAAAAGTCTGAGAGGCACAAGCAGCGATCTGTCCATTTGTGTATCTCTTTCATTATGTACCTATGTCTTGCCTGCTTGTGTATCTTTCTTTCAAATAAAAACTATTTCTATTATAAAATTCAAAAGTTAACTTGGTAAGGTCGCTTCGAGCTTGTTGTGGCTAGTTCTGCGGGTTATGTGGTGTGGCACGTCAGATACTTTACTCACTTCCAGGGGCGAGCTTGTTGACGACGGCGGCGTGGCTGGCGCACGCCAGCAGCAGCGGCAGCGCCCACGCCGCCGGCGGCAGGCCGCGGGACGCGCGCCACATCACGCAGCGCCGCGCCCTCCACGCTCTGACCGCATGTCCCGAGCTGCAACAAGAACATACACAATATAAACTAAGAGCCATGGTAGATGAGCGAGGTTTTCGGCTACTGGGACCGCAATTAACTGGGACCGCGGTCCCAGTCGCTGGATCCATAAAAATTTAATATTTTTCTTCCAGCGACTAGGACCACTAATAAATAACTTAAAAAAATATATTATTCAAGCCAAAATCGGTACAGTACTAAAATTTATGAGTGGTCCCAGTCGCCGGAAGATCCAGCGATTGGAACCGCGCTCCTAGTTAATTGCCGTTCCAGTCGCTGGAAACCTCGGATAACGCCCGTATTCACAAACGATGCTTGCTTAATGCTTATGTGAAGCAGCAAATCGAACGTACAACGTCGAATAGAGCTCTGTGATTGGTTCATGTGTCACCCTGTGCATCCACGCGCACTGTGAGACGTCATAGTAATGTTTGTGAATACGGGCGTAAAAGAAGCAAGCTCGGTTTCCACCAAAATGGAGAGGAGATATTTCGTTATTTCCACAACACAGCCTCGAATTGAAAATCTGATGGGTTATTCAAACATATTTCCTCTACACTTTGGTGGAAAACGGGCCTGAACTTGTTGAAATCCTGTCAAAAATGAACTAATATTTTCAGGAATATGAGAGCGAAGAATTAGAAATTGACCCAAATAAATAATTAGGCAAACGACCCGTTTCGGCTTTGCATGGGTGTATTCCTAATTTCGTGACGGCTCGGCAGTAATTCATTTCTATAGCTATCCCTATCATTTTGTCACAAGGCGACATTAGTTGAGTGTAGGCTTCCAAAATAATACATACGAGTAAATTTATGACCTTTTCCTTGAAATCACGTACCTAACCAACTTTTAAGTGTTAATAATTATTTAGTATCTTTAGATTTTAGTTTTTACATTTAGATATTTTTGGGCACTTGGGCAGTGACGTAAACGTAATAAAGTTAGTGATGAGTTTTGTACATGGAGTGTTTTTTTATGAGGTGGAGGCATTGTATATTTTTTAGAGGTGTTTTTCGTAAACATTAAAATGTTGTGATTGTAATGTAAATTATATCGCAATAACAACCTATCTACGAATTTACAAGGAAAAACATCCTGTCCTGCGCATACGTACTTACATTTTCCTCGAGTTATCTAAACGACGACAGATAACCTATCCTAAAAGTTAAGGTAATTTATGTAATGTACCGCATACTACCATGTAGAACGGCATTATTAAGAAATTAAAGTTATTAAATAAGAAAATAAAGCAATTTCTAAATACTTCGTATAATAAAAGACAGATTGCTTCGGTGGACAGGATCACTCGATCACTACACGCACCACATAATCTCTCAGGCAATGTAAAAAGCCCTCCCACCTACAATAAAGCAATGCTAGTAAACCCGGCGTACAACAATAGTGCTTTCATTGATAAATACATTTTCATTGATTGGAGCCCGCAAATAGAGGTTGCAATTGGCATTATAAGCACGGTAATTAGCGTGGGAGCCACCACAATTCCCACGACACGCCCGATGCAGGAAAATATCAATTAAGAAACACGTTTGCCAAGTAACTGAACCTAACCCAATCACGGTCGGAGGTTAAGCTTTGCATGGGAAACGCGTCACTTGCAAGGATAAAAGAATTATAAAAGTTTGATTTAGCCATTGTTGCATTTTTATTTAGCCTGGAAGACACTTCTATGGTTATAGTTAGAAAATAATTGTTGATGAAAAACATTTTACAGATTCCAGTGTTTATTTTTATGTAAGGGTCAGCAGACCTTACAATTTAATCATTACTGTAGGTACTTCTCTACGTGCAATGTATGACGATTACCAGCTACTGAGCGTCGCGATATCCACCAGTAACCCGATACAGAGGTAGGTAACTGACGATCTGATAAAGGTTACGGGGATTGAAAAGATGAGTCCTAGAAATCCAATAAGATACTTAGGCAGAAGGGATAGCCCTTCTTCTCCTTTAACATAGGTTTACATCTTTCTTTAATACATGAAAGCCAAATAAATTAGAAGTACCTACGTGAGATCTCATAAGTTATACATATTCTTATCAAATATTCACTAAATCACTTATTTCTCACTGTTATCATGTTATGAATAACTGGTAAAATTAGATTAAACTTATTAAAATGATAAAGTTTTACGAATACGATTATGGTATACTGACAAAAATAATGTCATACACGTGTCATCAAAGAATATATTTCGTGTCATATCAAGGAGAAACCATAAAATATCATATATATATCAGCGATTCTTATTGGATGGTAGTATTGGAATATAAAATCCACCAACCGCAAGATTTTGGTTTCGCGGTATAAATGTCTAATAAAATGTCATAACTTGCAAAGTTTATTTTTAATATCAATGTAATAATATTAAAGTTAACAAAAAGAGTACATACTATCCGATCCGAATGTCCGATACTATCGTATGCTATTGCCTTCCAGCGTCATCGCGAGACAGAGAAATTCTGATCAACATCTTAGAGAACTCTTCTGGTGGAATAAAAGGTACCTAAATTAAATAATCATGACACGTTTTCAGTGAATCAAACCATTTTTAAATACATATTATTTAGCTTAGTATTTTAGTACCTACTCCGCGTTTCTTGTGACCTCATGTCAAATGAGCGTGGTCATTGTATGCTTTTAGCGCCATCACCAGTACCACCAGTACTTCCGTGGTTCTCCTGCCTTAGGCTTGTTAGGCTGCCTTGTTTTATAGTCGGGTTGACAGCAGCACAACATTACAGTCCATCGAAGTTTGTTTTAAGTCGGTTCTGCGGTTATGTCGGGTCCTATCGGCTTATGTTTTTATAAAGTAGTTTTTAGAATAATTAATTTGCCCAAGAATTGTGTAGTCTCCGAAAGCATCACATTAATCTTAGTTTGCAAAATAGGTCGGTCGGTATCCAGGATGTACGGACGGAGTATTTAAAGTAGTTTACAACAACACATTTCAATGTTTTTTTAGTGTTTCTATTTTCCCCGCACATCGAAACTACTGGTTGATTAATGTTTATTAGTGTTAGAAAATAAATATATATTTTAAAAAGCATTTTGTTATTCATAATAATATGCTGAGTAAAAATACTCTAGTAAGCATAAGTTAAGACCTTGCATGACCCTGTTTTGTTTACAAAACTTCGGCCTGACGCTAAATTTAGCTGCGTATTTTTATTAGGCAGATAGAATATGACTAATGATAAATGAATTGAGTTTAGCAACACGTGTAAGCAGAAAAGAGCCGCATCATGAGAAATATAATATGTAGAGAGCTTAACTGTAAACCCGTGTACTACGAGTAGTGTTAAATTACTAGCGACGACTTTTTGGCAAATGAAATACATAGTATATTTGGAATCACTGTTTACAATTTACATTACCCACACTACTAATTTAAATATTTGACAGTAAAATCACAAAATAGGGTAAATGCCTTTAATTGAAATGTATGTTTTTTATGCGAACGCGTTTATGTCTTTTATAGTTTTTATCTACTATACATATAAAAAAAAAACCTGCACCGACTCCAAAAGTATCAATCATGGTATACCTACATAAATATTAATAATTCGTCCTAATAAATAAGTAGGTAATTAGTAATTATTTTTCTACGTTTTAGTGTAGGTTTTTTGGAGTCGGTTTTATTTTTTTTTATAAAATTTTACTTATTTCTTGCTTTTTAGTTAACTAATTATTACCTTGATGTTACCACTGAAGGTAGGCAGTACACTGAGACCAAAAAAAATTGGTTCATAATCAGCGGAGATATTGCGTATAAAAAAGTTCATCCCCAATTTTCCACCCTTGGGGGTTGTTTTTTTATTATTAAATTTAAATGGGACCACCCTTGAGGTATAACCTATACGTCGAAAAAAGATTCGTTCAAATCGGTTCATAATTGGCGGAGTTATCGCGTAACAAACATAGAAAAAAAAAAAGAGTGGTAATAAGTCTCGTGCACTTCTATAGAAAGGCCTGTGACCTAATTCACCTTATCAAAACTTTAACGTCATATTCTTTTCGTATTCACGATATTGTTTCGATTACGTTTTTATGCGATCCTATTGAGTAATCGTTCTATCTAAATGCCACGTGAATACGGATTTAGGACTGTTTTTCAATAGGACGACTTCTAAACGTCAACGACATTTTGACTGTTTCCAAATACGTGAATTAGGCCAGGCCACTGGTAGTCTACCATCTGAAACGTTGATCAAAATAAAACGCAAGAGTGGTATAAACTCGTATATTTAGAACTTCCGCCTCTTCAAGATCTCTGGTCGCCAGTTGATGGGGTGCGTCTCTTCCGACGCGGCCTCGTCCTCGCGGTAGATCTTGATGGTCTTGTCTGCCTCCGCTGTAATGAGGCGCGAGCCCGAGCGGTCGAACGACATCGCGAAGATGCCCGCTTCGGAATCCATGGAGCCTGGTTGCACTGCCGACTGCCAAATGAATAAAATGTTTTAAAATTAACAAAATGTTCGACGATCAGGAAAAAGCACGAGAGAGGAGAGCACAGAGTAATCAAGTCCACTGCTTATTTACCAATGATGCCAAGACAACTTCTCTTTTAAATCTTTTTTCTACCAGAGTTAGTTTCAAATTGGCATAATATTTTATTATTTTTATATAATATTTTATTGTTATAAATATAGTTTTCAACCGACTTCAAAANTTAAATGGGACCACCCTTGAGGTATAACCTATACGTCGAAAAAAGATTCGTTCAAATCGGTTCATAATTGGCGGAGTTATCGCGTAACAAACATAGAAAAAAAAAAAAAAACATACGGGTCGAATTGAGAACCTCCTCCTTTTTTGAAGTCGGTTGATAAGTCGGGTTTTCCTCCCTGACGCTATAACTCCAGAACGCACGAACCGATTTCCACGGTTTTGCATTCGTTGGAAAGGTCTCGGGCTCCGTGAGGTTTATAGCAAAGAAAATTCGGGAAAAGGGGGTAAAACGGGATCCACGCGTACGAAGTCGCGGGCGGCCGCTAGTTTTTGTATAAACTTTTTTTGTACTCATAGTGAGATTTAGATAGCGTGCACTGGATGAATGGAACAAATAATTTACGTGTTCCTAGTTTGTAAAAACAGCCACCCGGTCATGAATCTATGCATATCTAAACGGCGACGACGGCGGTGCGCCGCGGCGGCGCCTATGTTCTTAGTTATCTTCAAACTATGTACATAGTAATGTACACGTACACGCAAAATATGTAATGTATGTTATTTGTGACTTGCACGTTGTTTGGACAGTACAATGCCTACCTACGTATACGTGTTCTGTGTATCTAAGACGGTGATCTACGTCATGATGACGACAGTGGACGGCCTAAATGGCGAAGCGAGCGACACATTTATATCCGAATCGTCCGAAAGCAGTCACTACTTACGTACCAACTATACATTATTCCGAAGAGAAAAGTTTTATTGGCAATCGTTTTATTACCGTTGTTTCACTGATTAAGTAATTTTAGAAGTTAAATCGGTATCCGATGAAATCGTCCGGGGTAACTTTTACTACAACATTTACAATTTTAAACTCCTGTTTTTCTTTCTTTTGGGTTTTCTTTTCTTTACGACCCATTTATTGTTGTTTAGTTATTTAGGGTGCTAAAGTATGCCCGGTAAGTAGGTATGTCATCATCATCATCATTTCAGCCACAGGACATACACTGCTGAACATAGGTCTTCCCCAATGACTTCCACATCGCACGGTAGGTAGCGGTAAGCATGGTATTAGATCCTATTTAGCTTAGGTAACCAGTCGTGGCTGCTGCGTTAATTTACAAATCTTTCTGTCATCTGGTGGCCGAATTTTGGATTAATTATGTAATTCATCTTAATAAGCAATTAACGTTGAATCAACACTACATAGTTTAATGATAACGTGTACACGTGGTGCGCGCGTGGCTTCGACCGCCTTGAAATGTAATAGCGCGCGTACGAAGGGCTTCACAGAGCCGCGACGTAAGCTAGCAGGGTCCCTGGGGCAAGCGGTTTCGCTTCGCAGGTACTAAGGGGACCAGTTTCCCGCGCTGCATTCTGTGAGAGTTGTTTACGCGGCGTGGCGAGCAGAGGTCGTCGACCGCGTGCCGCACCACGCCGGCATATTTTCAGTAATAAATAATAGAGCAGCGCAGCGCAGCGCGATCGATCAGTCGGCGCGGGCAGTGCGGCGGCGCACTGTCGCTCGCCAGTCGCCACCAAACCAAAACATTGCACCCCCACCCCACACTCTTCCTGCTTGCCTCCTCACCTCTAGAGCGCATACGAAAGCGCACTACGGTGTCTACGTGACAAACTTTGAGTAGCCCATTAATTCCGTAAAAAATAAACGTCGTTTGAAATGCGGCAGACCCAGTTCAACAGAATTTTTAGTAGGTTGAGTAGTACATGAAATATATTTTCAAAATAACTATCAGGGGGTGATTAGTGATCGATACTGATGCCAAAAATGCAATCAGTAAAATTTTTGTCTGTCTGTCTGTATGTATGTTCCTTATAGAAACAAAAACTACTTGACGGATTTTAACGAAACTTGGTACAATTATTCTTCGTACTCCTGGGCAGGTTATAGGATACTTAGGAATTCCCACGGGAACGGGAATTAGCGGGAAAATCCTTTTGTACGAAATATCTAAACCGCTTAAGTTAGACGCTTGAAATTTGGCATGCAGGTACCTTAGTAAACTTAAAGCTTAGTTACAACAGGATATTGCAAAATTCCCACGGAAACGGGAGTTAGTGGGAAAAAACATTTGTATGAAAAAATCTAAACCGCGTAAGATAGACTCTTGAAATTTGGCATGCAGGTACCTTAGTAAACTTAAAGCTTAGTTACAACAGGATATTGCAAAATTCCGACGGGAACGGGAGTTAGCGGGAAAAAACATTTGTATGAAAAAATCTAAACCGCGTAAGATAGACTTGAAATTTGGCATGCAGGTACCTTAGTAAACTTAAAGCTTAGTTACAACAGGATATTGCAAAAAATCTGAACCGCGTAAGATAGATGAAGGGGGGGTAAAACGAGATCCACGCGCACGAAGTCGCGGGCGGCCGCTAGTAGNATAGAGATAGATAAGGTAGAGATCTTGTCAATTTTAAGGTTCTACTCAAGGTGCGACGTTATCCGTTTTCCTTTAAAAAAAATGCTGATTTTCCTGAAACCTAGTTATTTACCTAATACAGTAGACAGAGAATAAAGTCATAGTAGGTAGGTATACATTTTTGTTTTAAGCAAAATAGCAATTATTGCATTAGATTGATGTGCATGTACCAGACTATAAACTAGGGAATAGAACCATGGATCCCTGCCTTTTGTTAGTGTACTGTTATCTTCTTACAATCGTCCAGTAGTGAGTAGATCACACATACCACTGCACGTTAATTCAAGGTCATTGAAAGCGTAAAACAGCCGTAAAACATTGTTTTTCGAAATAGTGTTTTGATAAGACTTCAAGGTGCACGTTTCTGGCGCTGTCTTATCGATCATTTTGTTATCAACCTATAAAATATTTCAGTTTTCAATGTTTATGATTTTAATACCAAACAAAATAATAATATTATGCCGAATCTTGTTCCTGCAACATTGTTTCGCTGGTGTTGTTATCTTATCTGCCAAATCATTTTATTACAAATTGTGATTGTGATGTTTTTGTCTACAACCGACTTAGTATTTATGTGAATTAAATAGTGAAAACACTTTTTTAAGTGTTTTCATTATGTAGGTACCTACATCTTTTGTTAGTTTGGTTGTCTCTAGATTTCGCCATTGCATGCTTAAGTATGCAATTCTTTTTCGGGGGTTCTTTCTTTCCGGCGCCTTTGTGTGTGACTCTACCTTTACTATCGCTCGTCATTAACTTATGCATTCGTCAGTTGTTTTTATCATTCGCATTGAAAAGTCCTACCTAAGTAGGTACAAACAATAAACAAAGCAAAGACGATCACTACCGAAACTATCTCCTACATTCAACTTCGGTCAGCACGAGTTAGCCGCGTGATACCTACCTACCCCGACATCCGACATCAAGTGAGATAAAACTGGTAATGGTAAGCAAAATAATAAACAGACTTCTCAATTTTTATGTCCTTGGCGAACTCTACCCTAAATGATAGGTATAAAGAACGGGTTACTTACTAGGCAAGTAGGTGGGTACAGGTGATCAAATTCAACTAATATCCATGTAAGTTAAGCAGATAATCTTATTTAACGAGATATCAGATAACCCTCCTCCCTTGAGTAGGTAGGTAACTACTGTAGAATGAGACAAAGCTCAAAAGAAAAAATTGTATGTGTGGTTTATGTAGCGCTTAGAAAACAGAGAGGATCTAAATAGAGTTCATAACATTTTCATAATTTTTGTTTGCTTGTCTCTCCCGCTTCTGTGATTCAGACCCTGGCCCTGACCTGGACATAACTTTGAACTTATAATTTGTAGTTGTGTCTGCTTGAATTTTTAGGTACCTATCTAAGATCTAGATAACCAGACTTCCATGATCTACTGGATATTCTGGATTATCGTTATCAACTTAAAAATTAGAAAGGTTCTTGGCCTATTTGTTGTTCATAAAACGTTCTGCCAGAAATGGACGCACAACATTGAACACATACAACATAGATAGCCCCGGCGACGAAGCGACGCGACGTACGGAGAAGGGCGTTGAATTGTTTACAACATCGCCCGTACCGAACCACGTGGTGAGCGGCAGCCAATTGATACCTAAATGACGTCACGTGGTACTGTTGTTACATCTATCAACATATTTCTGAATAGAATTAGTCCTTAGCACGCCTGGCTTCGCTGAACCAGATTAGCGCAGCCGTAATCAGATTGAAAACAAATATGAGACGCTACCTGCGCTCGGCGCCTGCCGTGGCTGTCTGCTTCTCGCAAACCACAAAATAGCACGCAATTAATCCTGCTATACAGCAACTGTATTATTTCACACTGTCACAAACACTAGTCACTTGTTTAGTACGTTCAATGATAATAACAACAACACTGAAATTGTAAATACAGCATGCAATAAGAGCGAGCGAAACGCAGACAAGTCGCCACAAACGACGCGCGCGAATGACTGAGGAGGTGGCGACCGAGCGAGCGAGCTGCCGAGCCGAACCGAGGGAAGGAGCGCGGGGCCGTGCCGTGCCCGTCGACCCAGTCGCGGAATGCGGCTTGCCTGTTCTCTTCTCGCGTGCTTATTTTTTTAGTCAATCCGGTAGATAAGTACTCTGAAGTCCAATAGGGCGCGAAGCTCAGACATAGACTTGAGCAAAATCAGCTAAGGGGTTTGGCCAACTTTGTAAAAGGTGTCTATAGGTGCCTTGTCCCCTATTCGTTACCCATGGTCCCACTGTGGCTCAACAAAACGGTGGGACCACGGATAATAGGGACCCTAGGGGGACCTGGTAGAACCTATAATAAGGGAAAAAAAACAAAGAATCAAGCATTCATTCTTTTTACTTACCTACTAGACTGATTTGGCCATCCACACGTGGTGGGTTCCACGCACTCCAATGTATTGATATCACGATATCGGGACAGTACCAAATTACCAATACATTTGAGTCCATCGATAGGTACCTACCTACCCAATAACTCCTAATAATACGATTTGTGTAATTGAAATTCAGGGGTATTGGAGGGCACGTTATTTTCGACGTGACAATGACACCACCAACCAGATTTAAAGATGAAAGAAGCATAGTTTGATTCCCAATGCTGATGTTTTTATTTAAAAATTTGTAGGCCTACCAAGTGTTAGACAAATGATTAGGTAATAAGTACCTAGCAGAACGAATAGCACCTATTGGTAGGCAACTGTGCAGGAATGTAGCTAACAGTGGACGATGAGAGGCTGATTTTAGATGGGTGTTATTGTTTATCACCTGTAGTTTGGACGTTTGGTTGGTTATGGCAGGTAAACAAGTTGTTTCCTCTCCCCATCATCCCCGACCCTACTTTTCGAACACTATGCCCAGCAAAAGCATTGTGGTGGTTCTCAGCCCCTCAGCTTGATTTAGAAAATTGTTACTCCTCATAGGTATTTAGGAAATAATGATTGATTTTAGTACTGCCATTACGGCAACCGCGGGAATTTATATCAGACTCCATTGAAAAACAACGTTTACGCAATATTACGCAACCAAAGTTTAACAATGAGAGCTAGTTTTTATCTTTTAGCGGGGTTTGACGATGTTGGTGCGACGCCTGGCCACATGCCATACACACATTTTCTTAAAGATTTTCTTAAGATTTATAAATTTAATTATTGTTAATAATATTTAATAACTGTTATTTTGTATTGCTGTGCCCAACCGGGTGTGCATTTGTATGTTAGTACCTAACAATATACAGTGTATTCATTATGTGCAATAAATAAATAAATAAATAAAAATTGACAGTCTAAAATAAGTGGAAGGAAGTTAAGAAGTTCTTAATCAGTCATATAATTTCAATACAAGGAGAAATTCCAAGCACATTTGATATGAACTCAAGGTAGCAGCCGCAGCTATGCATCCATAATCCATACATAACACCAGGGGAAGAGTTGAGGTCTAAAAACTAACACTTTTAGGGATCTAAATCTTTGGCCATTTCTAAAGTAGTGAAACATTAAAGTTAGAAAAGTTCAGTACGTAGAAGACGTACCTACGTAAAGGTGGTGGACCAGTAGGTAGGACGAACTTTTCTCAGAAGAATCATTCTTACTTCCAACATTTTAGTTGCTAAGACTAGTTAATGTTGTTGTTCCTGGTGGACCATTCAAATCTAAGGCCAAACTTTTTGTTCTCGATCCGGACGACTAAAGCCATGGGTTCGGATTTTGTTTTTGTGATGACACGGCGATTCTACCTGCCTGCTTCGTGAAGGGAATTTGTTCTCAAGTAAGTAGGCTCTACTTAAGGGTGCTCTCACTGAAAAAGCTTAAGTTATTCGTTATTTATAAAGCTTTCTTGTTCAGTAATCTTTATCGTCTTATTGATAACAAACGCTACAAATAACCACGGCGTAGTATACAACGACCCCGCCCAAGAAGTACCTACCCATCTCGTTTATTGGGTATAATTGGTATAAGTTTTCCAGCTAGCTGCGGGATGATGTAACACCATGTTAGCAATGAGCCGTCACCACTTCGACTGGCAGTTGACCCCAATCGCCCCCAATCGAAGGACTAAATTGTTTGTCTGATCACAATAACGATAGGTACTTATTGTATGGAAAGCAAGATCCAATAACTATGCAAATTGCATTTAATTGAATGTCATTTTGGGAGCACTCCAGGTACCTACATCTGGCAATTGGTCACATAAATCTACTTAAGTACTTGTCTATACTACTTTTAAGTGCGCAGTTATTATTGTGGTGTTGTAGTTGTACATGAATATCCTTTGTTTTCAGGACGGTTAATATATCAATTAAACGCGCTGTTTCCGCTAAATATGCGCCCAATCTATTGAGTTCTGACATCAGCAAAAATATTGTTAGCCTTGTTACATGAAATTACACTCAAGAATAATAAATCTACATTCTAGATTGGACTGAAATCTGTGATTCGTCCAAATATTGGAAAACTGATCACAAGCTTGTTTAAATGCTTTAACTTTTAATTTTAAATATAATTATTATAGCTTTTTCATTTGTTAGCAGTAGGTACGGAGTACCTATTCAGATCAGATTGTCTAGCTAGCTAGAGTCAAGAGAAACCTGCCTTACTTAGTGAAAGTGCAACACGATCCAATTTCAGTTTCTAATCTAGAAGGTCGGATTGGCTAAAATATACGTACCTTAAATTGTTTTACATTATACTTTTATTCAGAGTTTATCTGAACATTCTGAAAAACAAGTAACTGATAAAACTGAAAGTGCCAATCTACGAACGGAACTGACAATCTAAATAACTTGTTGGTAATTTATTTTTAAACAAACATGTTTATCATTCTTATCGTCGCTTAACTACATAAAAATACCCTGCATAAGAGGAGCACTACGCTACGTTGCAATAAAGAATATTTTATGACGAGCCTTACTGGTATTACTGGAATATTCTTCAAGCAAATGTAAATGTACTTTGTAAATGTTGTTGGGCAAAATTTGTCAGCGCATTACAAGTGACTTACTGCAGTGCATTTGGCACTGGCTGGGCACCCTGCCGTCGCCACAGCACCTATTTCACTAACTCGATAAAAAAAATTGACTTGATTTCTGGATTCATTTCATATAGATGAAATAGCACTTTGAAGGAAACTTGTACAATTAAAACAACACATTACTTAACCACAGGAGAACATGTATTTGATTGCTTCGCTAAAGGAGATTACCTATTTACATATTAACAAAAAATTGAAAAAATCCTAAGAACTAATCAAGTGTTAGGTGTTTACATTGAGATAATATAGATAGGGATCGTCGGTCTCATACAAGTTGTTCAAGGTCTGGAGCACGAGGGACTGAACTAGATCCACCTGAAGCAATAGAAATTAAGCTTTAGTCTAAAACATATGACATAACTTGCATCTTTTAACCCCTGCCTAATCTAACCCTCATCGTCATAAATATGTATTTCTATGTATATTTCTGGAGTCTGCATAAAAATAGAGAATAATAAAGAAATTAGTCAGAATAAGTAAGACGAAATCGATGAGAGATTTGATTTAAAACTCTACTAAACGAAATTTATTACCTGATCTGGGGGACAGTAACCATCATCAGTCGACCTGGAGACGGTAACTAATACGGGAGTTGGTAACACCCGCAGCAATTTGGAGAACGCGCTAATCAAATTTCTTATTTCTTGTTCGTTGCTTATATGGTAAGGCAGCCCACCCTGGTCTCTTGTGCAGCCTCCTGCGTATATCGCCCACCAATCAGGTGTCACGTTTAGACGTTCTGCTTCTGCTAACACAACAGACACTAAGTCTGAAACCTAAAACCAAACAATAAAATGGAAATCAAATGTGAAGTACACAAATTAAAACAGTACATGTTTCAACTAATTAGATGAAGATACATTAAAAAAACATACAAGCTCAACATACCTTATGAAACATATCACTTCTAATACCAGAGTAATGAGTCAACTCGCCGTGCTCTTCTAGATGTTGAAATATATTTTCCAACTCCTCGATTTGTTGTTCCCGCAACTCATTAACTTTTTGTATTGTTTCCGCGTCGTCATTTTCAGGAAGTTTAAAGCTAAATATAGGTTCCAAACGGTCATATAAGTTGATGCTTTGAAATAAGGAAAGGAACGGGTTTCCTGTGCTGAAGAAATCTAAATCAATGTCCAACACATAAGGTTCAGTAATATTTAGAGTGCTTGCTAAATTTTCGATTTCTCCAACCTTTTCTTTGGTTTTATCAGAGAGCTCGGCGACAGTAAGTTCAAATTCTCTAGAGTTTTCTAAATTGGACGAATATAATGCATCGGAAAGATAATACGGTTCTTTGCTGTCCACTCGAAGTAGCCCAGTGTGTGCATCATCGCCGACCTGAATAACGCGCGTGCCGTCGGAGAATTGATTCGCCCACGGAGGGCGCAGCCACACCACGCGGTCAATATAGCCAGCGGCCGCAGCGGGTACGATCCAATTTTCTATTTGCAATAATGGCAAAACTTTCCTACCAGAACGCGCCTCTTCTCCCTTCAATTTACGATCTATAAGCATGTCTGGATGAGCGTCGAAGTGCAATAAAGTGGTACCTTCCATCGGTAATTTCTTTCCTCCGATAGCTGAGTATATAAATTGTAAGGCATCGTTATGTTCTTCGACCACATAGATCGGCATCTTTTTGAACCTTTTCAGGTTGGTAATTACGGAAACATTAGTCATTTTCAGTCAGGTCCATGTAATTGCGCTTTAGTTTATACGATTCTGAAACGAAACAATGACGTTAGCTGATTCTCAAAATAAAGTTTAAAATGACAACTAGCTTACGCAACATTTTATCAAGATACGAATACAGAGGACCACTTTGACTATATAATTCCACAAGACGTATTTCGCAAAACAGGTCAAGGCCCAACTGTCGGAACAACAGGGGAAGTTCCGGGCCGGGGACCGCTTTTCGTGACCACTGCGCACTTCGTTGCGGCCAGATTGTTGACTTTGTTTCGCAATATCTGGCATAACAAGGGCGTTATGGCACCTATTACGAGTTTGAATTACTGGTTTGTTAAAATGAGAGAGATCAAGCAATTTAAACAAGTTAAAGACGATATTTATAACTAGGTGCCAAATTCAAATGAGTATGTTTTGTTAGACTATGTCAATGATTATAATTATGTCTGTATGATTGCATAATACATATATCGTGGTGGATGAATCACTTGCTTTTTGCATCGAAATTTCGAAATAAACAAACAAAACAAAGTGGACTTCTTTTCTTATCCACAGGTGATTAAAGGACTACCCACAAGGTGGACCGACGCCATCATAAAGATAGCAGGAAGGCGCTGGACGCAGGCCGCTACTAACCGGGCAACATGGATAGCATTAGGGGAGGCCTATGTTCAGCAGTGGACGTCCTATGGCTGAGATGATGATGATGATTAAAGGACACCGAAGTACTTATCGCCTGGAGTCCACTTTGATCACCTGGGTGAATAGACCCTCAAAAATAGGTACGCTTCTGGGATCGATCTATGTTGGTCATTATGGTCTCACAGCATCTGTTATATTATTTCGATGAAATAATGTGATCTGTCTTCATGAGCATTTAGATTCGATTTGAGAGCAGCAAGTTTTCTGTGCCTGCCTTCATGTAGGCTACTTCTTGTCGGCACCAAACAAAAGTGTTAGTTACTGGAATCAATCGCTGAGTGGCTTCGATATTGGCAGTTTTATTTTGTGTTTATTTGCAGCACTCGACCGCAAAACAGTGAAGAGTAAGGTTCGGCGCAGTTATCCCACCCGCGGAGGGGTGTGGGTGGAGTTACGGTGGAAGTGTGGATCTCATCAAAGAGAGTACTGAATGTTTTCCATTAGCGTCGNTGCGCGGTTCTCTCCGCAGTGGCGCGGGGCGAGGGAGGGGTAGTGCGGCCTCCACAGCGGGGGAGGGGTGTTGTGACGGGCGCCGGGGTCGATACTGGCGCCCTGACGTCACTACGCTACTACGCCCGCCCAAACATGCCCCCCGCCAGCGGGCCTCCCTCCTGACCTATTCTACGCCCACCTGGGTCAAGGTACGGAAGCCGCAGTGGAACTATCGGGATATTAACATCGTCATTAAACGTATGCTGATGTCCAAATTACGAACTTAACACATTTTAGGAAAATCATAGAACTCCAAATCGTGAAAGAAAAAGTTTGGGGGATTCAGAAAGAAGTTACAGTGTATATTTTTTCTGGCTGAGTTGCACCATCTTACTTTAACTATAGTCTATAACAAATGTCAAAAATCAATAAAAATATCATTATTTTTATTGATCTTCTTATGTACCACTCAGTTACACCACTGTCTTACAAAACTAAAATATGTTTAGTTGAAATGTAAAACTGCTGCCATAATTTGCTATAACTACCAAGTTAATGATACCACCAGGTATCTAGATCTTCTGAACTTATTTTAATGTTATTATCCTGTGAATAATTAGTATGGAAAAAAGATTTCAAGTAAAGGGTTGTGACAACCGCTTAAATGTTTAAAAGCTAATTTGAGCAATAAAACAACTATTTGTTATCAAGAAATAACTGTAAATTTACATTTACAGTTATTTCTTGATAACAAATAGTTGTTCAAACAGCACAATAATACAAACTAATTACTTCAAATAATATGCACAGAAAGTTAATTTATGTAAGTTGTTATCAGTACTTGTTACCTAGTTTAAAGTTACTCAAGTGTAGCAAAACAAGACACAACAAAAAACTATTGTTTGGTAACTGACAAACGAGTTAACATAACAGAACAGGGATGTGGACAAAAAATATTGGACACATCCCTCCACCCCTTAAAAATGTTTCTCATTGTTTTCTTTTAAATATAAATACAAAGGTTTCCTTTTAAATTTGCAAAAAGACTCATTATAGGACAGCAAACTGAAATTAATGTAAATTAAAATGCACTCACTTCAAGTTCCACGTTTCATCAGTAACATGTATTGCTATGGTTGTTATGGTAACTGTGTGCTAACTTTCTTATAATTATGTAAATAGTTAAATATAAGGTGTACAATATGTAACGTATTTATGAGGTATTTATATTATTATGTATGTATCATGATTCATGTGCTCAGTAGTGCTCTCCCTGTTTGGGTGTCCATGGAAGACCAGCATCGTGGCATTATCTACTGAGATGCTACGACACCATGCTGAGTGGATACCTTTTCAGTATCATTGTAATTACCTTCTCATTAAATAATGTTAAGTATTGCAAGTGTATTGTCGATGATACTGAATAAACATTTTTTCTTTCTTTCTTTCTTTCTAATCAAATAATTACAATATTAACGTAGTGGCACCAATGACCGACAAGAACCAATGACCGACACTTTATTTTTTGATTCAATAAAATAAGAGTATAAAATCGATTTCTTAATATGTCAACACTGTACCATAGAAAGCACACTGTTGACTGCCTCCCATTGACATTTAAGCAATATCCGCCAATTTATTTTGAAAATGGCAGTATAACAACTGATTACGGCTGGAGTACCGGTGAAAATAACAACATTTCTTAGTAAAATCCATAAGGAAGTNGAAAACCAAAATTAGCTATTCCTGTAGATTAGTTTTCGTCCATTCGTCCTTCGACCTATTGCAATATTTTCCTAAATTGAGGTAAGAAACTTATTTAAATCTTTTTGATATCATTTGAAAGCTAACAAAATTACCTTTCAAATGATATACCACAATCCATAGTTACTGTATTGTAGAATTGATTTTAAGTTGATAATTCAACTGCACCCTTTTTTCAACACAGTGGTCGAAAACTAGCGTACACTAGGACGAAAACTGATTTTTTTGGACGAAAACTAGTGAAATCGCCTCTTTTGCATAAAATATTTTTAAAAAAAAAACCCGTGGTATTTACTTATTGTCATATAATATTAAGGTAAAGTAGACTATATAAGGATTAAAATGACATATGATACATATGAGAAAGGGTATTTTAAGATATTCATTTCGCATCACAAAGTTGGCAACTCCGATAATTGGACGAAAACTAGCGCACTTACCCTACATTCGGGAAGAAATTATATAAGTGACGCCCTTTGACTGACGTATTCCATCTTTTTTGCCATTCATTAAAAGTAATTCCTCTTCAACGACTTCTCGGGAATCAAATACTTAATCGGCTTATTTTAGAACGATCGCGGCTATTTAAGAAATCGGAGGTTAAGTATATTTTCCCTTGATGCGAAGTAGATAGCCGCACGCTTCTGTACCTCTAAGTCGACCGGCAGTACACCAGCCAGGACTGGCAGAGCTTCCGTCCTAAACCTGGTCGAGTGCCAAAAAAGGAGATCGTCGATAACTGGGTGTCGGTAAGTGGCAGCTGTCGATGACTGGGTGTTGACTACTGGAGATTCGGTGTCGATGATTGGAGATTTATATGCTTTTTCATTTTTTGGGATTTTTTTCTAGTCCGTGTATAGTTAATAAAAATAATACATCCTATTCTTATCTCAAGAATATACCTAATCATGCTCAATCGTTACTTTTGGTTTAAAGATGACTAAATGACCTTTAATCTTAATAAGAAGCCCAATATCTCCTTAAAGTGTCGATCATTGGTGCCACTACGCTATATTACATTATTATTGTTTAAATTATTTTCTACCGGTGAGAAACTATAAGTGGTTTACCTGTTGCCTAACTTATTTTTATGACACTTTAAAACCCTGGTTTTCCTAAAAATAAATAAATAAATATTGAGTTGGAAAGTGGTGTGACGTGACTTCTAGGTAAAAAATCTACCTAGGCGTGACGTCACACGCCATTTCAACTCGATGTAGCACTGTTATTATTCAAATAAGAAAGAAAAATAATATGTGTCCATTATTTTCTTACTCTCAGTCTGATAGAGATAGACAAATAATTTAAATTTTGTCCACTAGTTTCTTCAAGTAATATAGGAGATTGGTAGGTTTTTAAATTGTCACCAGTGTGGTATCCGGTGATTAATAAATGTAAACCGTGGGCATTGCTGTCAAGTATGAATATGGATACTGTGAGTGTTGTGTGTATATCACTAAAGCCTGGTCCGTGAGCTCGTATGTTGCTGTCGCGCTCGCACACTCACTGCGGGCGCCCGTCGCACAGTCGCGAAAGCAATATAATTACGCACGAGCGATAAGGATGGGTAGCTTGGGATCATTGGACAAAATTCTACGTGCTCACGGACTAGGCTTTAGTGGTGTAACAAATGACAATACAAGGGTAGTTGAAAATATTCAAGCCCGCCCGGCCGGACGACACCACGAGCCGCCAGTCTGCTTGTGACCAGCTGCAGCATGTAGCGTTGAGACCCATGTTTCTCTATTTATGAAAATGTTGTGCCTGGAGCAAATCGAAGCTCAGACTTGTGTCACAAGTATTGTTGTTAGTTTGTTTTTGTTAGCAGCTACCAAAACCAGGGATTTTACATTTATTTATGTAATCCATAAGGATCTGGCATAACCTCTCAATGTCCATATTTCCGGCTAATCATTATAAAAATACTACATGGAGGTTAAGACCATCAGAAGATAAACAATTAAAAATAATACAGCTTGTAGATAGATTAAACGTATTGTAACGTTAAAAAATGATGATCAAAGTTAGTTTATTACCCAAATACTTATTTTATATAATTTACCTGTTGCAAAACGATTATGGAAACATATTATGTGATCATTATTGACATACCTTTACGGTCACACCTTCTAAGTTAATGTTTTCATGAAAAACCTGCAAATTATATTATTATGCCGGCATTATTTACAAAACTATTTTATAACCTAACTAACTGCAGTCAGTTCAAGTTGACATAATATGTCAAATGGCAGGGTTACAACCTCGAGTAGATGTTTCTCCCCAGAAAAAAAGAAAAATGTGGTTTATTTTTCAAGATTTTTAAAGAAATCCAAATACGGTCTTAAATAAAAACTGACTATTCAAAGCCTATCAATGATTCACCATGACAATGCCCACGTGATGAGCAATGTGAGCATTATGCAAGCCTGAGCCCCGATTACGGTAACTTTTAACGTCTACAATCCAGACACGCTTCTCGATTGGTTAAAACAGCTGACGTACGCTGTTGAACGACCAATCGTATCGCAGAATCGAGAAGCGTGTCTGGATTGGTGACGTTAAATATTAATGTAATCGGGGCTCTGTTGTATCATTAATATTGAACCCTATTTACCGATTCAGCTGATCTACACTAGTATGTAGTTACGTCTCTAGTTAATAGACAAATCGCTCTATGTCGCCATCTTGTTGTCTGTGGTAATCTCTGCAATAAAACTGCGTCTGCTAAAGGATGATGGCTTATCTAAAACTATTTTTATTTAAATTTATCAAAGCCAGATTTTAAAAGCATTGGCAAAAGTTTACAAGGAAAAAAATATCGATAACCTCATCACACTTTATTTTTCCTGAATTAAAGGGTAAATTTAATAAGATGGTAAACTTGTAATAAATGTCACTGTCATTTTTTTTTCTTAATCCAAAGATATTATAAAAGCTAGATTACCTTCGCTTAGCGTTCATTCCGAAAACTACTCTTTTGGTTTGTCGTCTTCATCATATTTTAACCTGAATGTCTCCAACTTCCTCATTGGCCCTAGAGCAATTCCAAGTATACCATCAATAAAAGCCTAATTAGAGTCATCAAACCTCTCAGTCATTCAATTAGAGCCATTAGAACTTCATGAGTTGTTTTCTGTGTGTAAGCTGAGGACACGTGTCCCCAGCTGACACATCTGTATCTTCGTAAATATTTATGCTACGATAATGTATTATACCCCAAAAATTACAGTCGAATCCAAATAGTAGGCTTTCCACTTTTCAAGACTTTAGCTCAAATACTGTTAAAACCACGATCAAAAAACTATGTGCGAGCTGGAGTACCGTGTCTCCAGCTTACACATCTGTATCTTTGTATTCTACGTGCCCACGGACCGGGCTTTAGAATTTATTTAAATTTTATTAAACATTGTGTTCGTGAACAATTAAATAAAGGCGCGGACGTCGGACGGAGCGGAGTGCATAAAATTATTCAACAAAACACTTATCCGCTGCCTGCGCTCTGCTTGCACGCATTTTGGGAGAGCGAGGTTGCTGGCGGCTTAGTTGATGATTCCAGTTTATAAAAAAATATTGATTCAAGATTTTTTTTAGAGGATCCTGCCTGCCTGCCTTTCGACTGTGAAGAGAGCATACAAATATTGTTATTTATGGGTTTATTTTATTAACCATAATATAAATGCAAAAGTTTGTAAGGATGTTTGTTATTCTTTCACGCAAAAACTACTGAACGGATTTTGATGAAACTTCACAGTACATTATTGTTTATACATCAGGATAACATAGTTGGGGGACCACGGGTAAACGCCGGCGACGGCGCGGCCGCGGGCATCTGTTTTAAATATTATATCATGCGGGCGAAAGAATATAAATAATAATTTAATAAAACTATCCAGGGAGAAAATGAAAGTCATAATTTAACCCTAAATATAATTTTATTTTGTAATAATAGGTATTTTACACTTGGAAGATATAAACCGAGTCCAAATTAAAAAGGTCTCATGATTTATTTAATAACCGAAATATGACATCGTAGTTAGATGAATCAGATTCAATCCTCTTTGTGATTACAAACGAAAAGAAAAACACCCAATTGAATTATTTCTAAAGAGAAAAAAAAAACTAAAACTATAATTCATTATTTTTGACCAAGTATCATAAACATTATTTAGGTAAAGAATTTGTATAAATGCTGTTTACTGCCTTACAATATGAGAGCCTTTTATTTGAGACTTGCACCTGTTTATCTGTTTTAAAATAGCAATTAATACAATGAAATCTGGGCCTTAAACTAAATTTTATGCCAGTATGATACTGTCAACTGAACCTTAACCTAATACAATGATCTTCTCTAGTCGTGTCACTAAGATTACGATTATATTAGTAGATCTTATCTACTTTTATTCATCTGTTATCTGATGGGATTTAAATTATATTATTACTGATATAAAATTACTTAAAACTAGTGCATTACGAGGGTGGGGATTTAAAACAATAAAACATTTATATTTGTATACTTACCCTCTTCAGCGTGAACGAGAATTTGTACTTTGTTCACAGTACGTCGACTTAAATGTAGGAAAGGCCATAAACGGCGTGAAAACTTGAGGCGGTTGATTTCTTTAGCGCAGCAGATGGTTCATTTCACAACCATCGCCGATATAAATTCTGATGTGCATGTGCTGTCTATATCGGCAAGCGTTTGCAAACTAAGTAAGGCCTATATTATAAAACGACACTCAAGTAAGTACTCGTAAATCTTGTAAGAAAAGATCAAACCTGTGATTGATATCTAACAAGTTTTTAACTTCAACCTATCACAGATTTGAATCTCGATCAGGTCAATTTTGAGCTTCGTTTCAGAATACAAGCTTTAGTATACGTACTTTATTTCTTTTAGTCATAGTAATCTATAAACCTTATAATTATTAATTGAACACAAAATTACGACTATACAATTCAATTCGAAAAGTATGGACCGGACAGCGAGTACACGGTATTTGTTAATAATGGTATGAAACTATTGTAGTTTTGATGTCATCTGTCATTCTAAAGAAATTATCGCGTGAGGAGTGAGGAGGTTGCCCACAGGGCACAATGGCTGGCTCCAGCGAAGCTAGGCACCGGGTGCGTCGGCTTACATGATGCGGCAGTTTTCGTCGCCCTCTCGGATCTCGCCCAGCTGCAAAATGGGAGCAGGCGATCAGGAAATAGAGTTCATATTCGATTGACTATGACTAAAGTCTGGTCACCGAGCACGTAGAATTTTGTCCAATGACCCCAAGCTACCTATCCTTATCGCTCGCACGTAATTATATTGCTGTCGCGACTGTGCAACGCGCGGCAGCAGTGAGTGTGCGAGCGCAACAGCAATATAATTACGCGCGAGCAATAACGAAGGGTAGCTTGGGGTCATTGGACGAAATTCTACGTGCTCGGCGATCGGACTATAGTTATGAAATTTAAAGTGAACCTTCTGCATAAGCCATAAAGGCTACAATAAAGATACCTGTTCGCGGCGCGGGTACTTGTGCGCCAGCTCGCGGTGCCGCTGTGCGCTCGTGCTGACCTGCCGCCGCTGCCGCTCCGACACTGCCACCTCCTGGGAAACAGTTTAACTTGTTTTAACATTTCTCGAAAATAATCACTATTACTCATTAGGAATTAAAAAGGTGGGCGGAAAATAAAACTGAGATGGAGGTCTAATACGCTCAGATACAACCTAGCACTCTGTTATGTTGCATCTGTCAGCGTTTGCACACAATTATTTTATGGAAATGGTGTAGTGAATCAATTTACAGAACATATCAGATCAGAGAATATCAACGCCTTACCTCCTGGTCTTTGTTAACCAGCGTGGTGGTGAAGGTATCGGCCTCGAATCACTTCTGGCCCTTCATGACGATGTCGCGCGGCGGGTCGTGGTCGGCGCCCTCGTCGGCCGACCACACCGTGACGACCGCGCCAAACAAAAGGTCTACTGTTGCGTTGATTCATTTAACTACATTATTATCATAAANGTCGCCCTCTCGGATCTCGCCCAGCTGCAAAATGGGAGCAAGCAATCAGGAAATAGAGTTCATATTCGATTGACTATGACTAAAGTCTGGTCGCCGAGCACGTAGAATTTTGTCCAATGACCCCAAGCTACCTATCCTTATCGCTCGCACGTAATTATATTGCTGTCGCGACTGTGCAACGCGCGGCAGCAGTGAGTGTGCGAGCGCAACAGCAATATAATTACGCGCGAGCGATAACGAAGGGTAGCTTGGGGTCATTGGACGAAATTCTACGTGCTCGGCGATCGGACTATAGTTATGAAATTTAAAGTGAACCTTCTGCATAAGCCATAAAGGCTACAATAAAGTTACCTGTTCGCGGCGCGGGTACTTGTGCGCCAGCTCGCGGTGCCGCTGTGCGCTCGTGCTGACCTGCCGCCGCTGCCGCTCCGACACTGCCACCTCCTGAGAAACAGTTTTAACTTGTAACATTTCTCGAAAAGAATCCCTATTTTTGTAGGTAGATAATAAAACTAACAAGGCGGTCTAATACGCACAGATAAAACCGAGAATCTGTTAGCGTTGGTCCACAATGATTCATAGCCATAGCAATGGTGGAGTAAAGTTAAGGTTATGAGAATAATACGCCAAACATGAAAGGAATAAAGTTTTTACAAATAGATTTTCTGTCATTCAGTAAATTATTCTTGCAATAATGTAATTATATAAATAAACAACCGGTCTTCTCATAAAATAAATTGAAAATTGGTCTTTTTACATCTGCGGTTTTAGTAACCGTCTTAGTTATTAACATCAGCTCCTTACCTCCTGGTCGTTGTTAACCAGCGTGGTGGTGAATGTATCCGCCACGAACCACTTCTGTCCCTTCATGACGATGTCGCGCGGCGGGTCGTGGTCGGCGCCCTCGTCGGCCGACCACACCGTGACGACCGCGCCAAACAAAAGGTCTGCTGTTGCGTTGATTCATTTAACTACATTATTATCATAAATCCCTTACCTCCTGGTCGTTGTTAACCAGCGTGGTGGTGAAGGTGTCGGCCACGAACCACTTCTGTCCCTTCATGACGATGTCGCGCGGCGGGTCGTGGTCGGCGCCCGCGTCGGCCGACCACACCGTGGCGATCGCGCCCAACAAAAGGTCTACTGTTGTGTTGATTCATTTAAATACATTATTATCATACACCCCT